CAGCTTTCAGGTGAGCAACAACGAGTATTATGTCTTCCAGCCTTCCTATCAGCCCACAGAAAGCTGCCAACAGCAGCTTCTCAAAGCCTCTGCTCCCTATAATGGAGTGAGTCATGGAGGAAATGGGTCTCTGGAGACAGCACATGAGGGGAGCCACCTGCACAGTGTCCCCAGCAGGAACCTCGATTCTAGACATGGTTGTCTGCTCATTGCTGCTGATCAAGGCACCAAAAACACATTCAAGCCAGCTTACAACAGGATACCCCCATATATTGTCTGGAACCTTTCCCTCTCAAGGACTTACCCAACTTCACTCTGATTAGCCTGAGTTATCTGGTGTCACATGTAAACATGAAAGGAATCTAGGCACTTATTAAATATGAATTTTCCTTCCTATTAACATAGTTCCAGCAATATTTTAATGCCATGTTGCCTTTAGATTGTTTCCCTACTGTAACATGAGGTCTCTCCTAGAGCAGATAGACACCACAGGAATGGATGAGTTTATGGATAACATTTATTTCATTATGACGAGTTGTCATCAGTGGTGATTTTCTACTGCAAATGCTTACATTTCATTGTGAAATGTCACCTCTAATCCTTTCTACCAATAAAGCAAATGGGACAGCCTGAAGGTGTACAGAGTAGGGTTGAAGGTATATTCAAGCATCAAAAGGTAGTTTTTTTACTGCCAAAGAGAGCTAACTTGTGATCAAACAATTGCATATATATAAAAGAATATATTTAACTCAGTACAAATGAGCTGACTCTTTTGGCATACATGGGGAGGAAATTTGATAATTGACTGGTTTGGTGGTGAAATTCATGTCTATAGGAAGTTTGTCTGAGGGTTTTATTTGCTGCTTTTTACAATCCCTTTCTCATCCTGTCTAGTGTTTTTGCTCTCCTCTGGTTATGGACTAATCGTCCCAAAGTCCCAGTCATTTGCCTGAAAAACAATAGCTGGCAGTTTTTGTGCTAAACTGCCCATTTTGTTATCCCTGCCACAATCCCTGGTGTTTTCAGTTATTGTACTTGATAGGCGTCATTAAGGCTCCCATGCTGTTAGTCACTTTCCTGATCTTTCATGTTTCTTCTACTTGGGAAGCAGCTTTTCCTAGAAACATTCAAAGAGAATAACACCAGATTACATCCAGCACCTTGGGGTAATGGCATCTAAGATCCAACTCCCCCACTTTTTTTTTCTTCTGTGTTTTTAAACTCCAACTCCAATTAAAAATGTAAAAGGTTAGATTATTCCCCTTATGCTCATACAAAGTCATTCCATGGAAGTCTACAGAACTAGTTATGAGAGAAATAGTCTTCAGTTAGTAATTTTTAGATGGCACATTCTAAGAGTCTATAGAACACTGTATTATCATGACCTGGAGTGTGTTAATTGGACTGGCACAGACGTGTCCATTTCAAATACTGTGAGGTTACTGTGTGCCATCCACAAAAAAATTTTGAAGATGCTGTGGGTGTGTCTATACTCAGACAGCCTTAAAGCTGTGTTTGGGGGATGGATGTGCAGCTACCACATAGGAAAGGAGACCTTCCCATGTGTAGGGTGAAGCTCACTCTTGTTGCTGTCAAAGTCCCTGGCATGTCTTGTGCAAAGCAAGAGAAAGCAGCATGAGAGGGTGCCAGTGGGTCAGTAGCACCCACATTCATGAGGCATCATCAAGGGTCTGTGCATGTTCTGGAACACATGTGCTCATTGCTTTGTCTTGGTAGCTAGATTCCAGCCTTGAAAGCAGAGATTTGCTGAGTCAGTTCAAATCTAAACTGCATGGACCACTTGAACTTTAGTGTGAAAGCAGTGTGTAAAATGAGCATTAGTTTCCCTAGGGGAAAAGTTTGAGGCCATGGGGAAAAAAAATCAGGTTCATGTCACTTCATCATACACCCTCTCTTCAGAAAGTGCCACAAGTTTTTAATATCCAAACAGGAAAATCAGATAATGGATTAGTTTACATAGTTTCATCTCAAAATTTCACATACAGTAAACTGGATCAAGCGTAGCAAATGCTAAGGGTTCAAACTGCAGTTTATTTGCAATTCTAAAAGGAGCAATCTGTTCCTAGCATCCCTAGAAGAAAAGGATCAAGACTTCAGTTAAGGTGCAGGCAGAATAATGCAATTTTAGAAGAAGAATTCAAGACAGATTGGGCTAATTTTTACCTCATATATTTTTTATGTGAATTTACGGACCTTGGGACTGTCTTATGGCAAGCACAAAAATGGCAAGTACATGGACTAACTTTCATCTTTGCTACAAAGCTGAGAAAACAGGCCATTATTAGTTAGTAATGCAGTAATAAGATATAACTTGTTTAATTTTTATTGCAGTTTATATTACAAGCAACAGTGGGATACCAAACATTGCATTAGCATGCACCATAAAACAAGTATACATTTACTATCTTCCTCTACCATTAATGCTCAAAAAACTTTTCAAGTTACTGTTGTTTTTTTTGTGCCCAGATTTCCTAGGAGGTTATATTTGAAGGTGAATGGGGACAACCAATGCCATAATTTTTGAATTAGGAAAGATTCTTGGTGAAAAAAAAAATCACAAAAACTCTGTGGAGTGAGAGAGTATCCATCGTATCTTTCTCTTTCAGGCACAGAGTCCTCCAGAAATGACATAGCTGTGAAACTAAAAGCTTAGCACAGAAACAGTTCCTGGACACCTCCTTCTTAAGCATATATTTAGTACGCAGTTAGGGACATACTTACGGATAATGAAACACAAGCAGCGGAGTCACCATCAGCTGAACCAGTGATTTCAGAGAAGGTGAAATAGTCCAGAAGGATAGGATATTTTAAAGAGAACATGCAGGCTTTCTGTTGGCCTTTTAATTGAAAAAAAAAAAAGCCCATCTGGGAGGCTCAGCAGTACAGGGATACGCTTTGTATTTCACCAGAAGGAGAGGGTGAGTGGTGTGGCTGTGGAAAAACCATAATCCTACAGGCTGGGAAATATTCTTTCAGTTCCACACTGGTTAAGCCTCTTTTTGATATAAGTGTAAATCATCTTTTAGTTGGGGGGGTTGAGAGAAGGGAAAATTTGCGCCCAACTTTCTCCTTGAGAATACGCCAGTGCATTTGCTGTTAGGAAATGACTAAAATAAGCCTCTTCACATATGTCCTTAAAAACACTTTGACTGCATTCCTCTGTAATTATTAAGCTTCTTCAGAGTCTGTAAGCCAGTGAGAAAGGGATTAGAGGGGTTACTTTGTGCCTCTGTACCCATAAAAATCCCTTGGCTAATGCAGCACACTGCTAGGAGCATCCTGAAAGCTTTCATATAATCTCTGCCTCCCAGCCACCACCACTGCTGCATTCCCATTATTTCAACACATTCAAATTCCATGCAGTAATGTGGAAGCACTCCAACATGGAAACAAGATTCATACTATAAGTCACATTAGAAAACTAAACTGCCAGTTAGAATGGAGCAGCAAAATGACTACACAATAAAGACATCCTCAATTTTATGTAGGAATGACAACCAGGAGATGCAAATTGTCATTTACTATCTGTTAACATTTCCTATTGTCCTGGCAGTTCAACACAGGAATAATTTTCTGCTCCTGTCATTGTAGGAGAGGTCAAAATAGAGCACCAACCCTGAACTGGACTTGCATCTGAGTAGAAATACATTATAGCAATGGCAAAAGAGTGATCTGCTCCCTGTCACCATTCAGGAGATTTTCATGTCAAAAGAGAACTTGCAATGCTCAGTGATGTTGTACTGAAAACAAGTCATTGTATCATAGGCAGCAGTAACACAGGACTGGAAGTTATCTTCTGTGTCACAGAGTCTGTTTCTAGAGCCAGCACAGTATTATATAATGCCTTTCACTAACCCATCGGTAAGAACCCTAATTTTTTTTAAAGCAACATTTCCTTGTGATAAATTCAGGGAAGAACCCTGGACTGTGGAAAGGTTTGAATGAAGCACTGCTGTTAAACCCAAGAACAGCTGTAAACATCCAAAGTGAACAGCTTCCAGATCATGATGTTAAAGCAGAGAATCAACTGTCAAATGTGCATTAAAACAACATCTGCAAGACAGAATCAAAAAATCTCCTTTGTGAAGCCAACCATTTGCAAATACTTCCTGGATTTGCAAGGAAGTATTTCCAGGAACCTTGCACCACTTGGCAGAAGTCAACTATGAGGGCTATAGCAATGAGGGCCAAAACTGTGCCTGGAGGAGCTGAGGAGGAAGCTGCTTGTCATGCACTGCCTGTCTGCAAGCAGAGGGAAGCCCATATTCTGTTTGCAGCGGGTGCAATGGGGGATAGTGGTCACAGTCAGGGCAAGCTGGTAACCCAGCTTCAGCCCTGGCTCGCTCCCTCCCTGCCCCCTCACTTTTGCCTGTATCCCTTGGCACATCATGTCAGTTTATCTTGGTCACCATCTGTGAAGAGCAGATAATAACACCTCTTGCTGTATGTCTATTTAGGTTGTAAATGCCTTCAAACAAAGACTGCCTCTTACTATGTTTACCAACAGTACTTAGTGCATGGGCTCAATCTTTTGTATAGATATTGGTCATTAATACTCATTATTATAGTAGTGATGATAAACACAGTAATCATTCAATATGCTTCTAACAGTAATCAAGCAGCTTAGGCTTTGTTTCTATCCGAATAACTATCCTAAATACATGAGGCGCAGGAGTTAGGAACACAGTGCAGTTCTACTTTTTGTGGAAGGGCTGCTGGTGATGTCTGGCTGCACAGAGGACACAGTTTAAAACACAAGCATGCAGCAAACAAACAGGCGTTCAGGCACTGATCACATCTGACTATTTAAAACTATCATCTTCTGTGCACTCTCCCTTTGCAGATTATCCTTCATATGAAAACTTCAAAAATAAAATCTCTGAAATAATATTTTATGACAATATCACATGGCAAATAAGCAAAGGACATGCACTACAAACAGAATAGTCCATTATCTTTTCCCTGATAAATTCACTCACCTCTTTCACTTTAAAAATAGTAAATGCCCAGGAATATCAATTCTTCCTCATTCCAAATAAAGGATTTGATGGATCCATGGATTCATGGTGCAAAGCAGAAGTTAAAACAGTAGTTAAGAACTGCAGTTGGATCGTAAAGCCCTTTGGTGTTTGAATAAACTCTGCTGACACTGCTTGGCTAATTTTAAAACTGATATAGTTAATTTTTTTTAATAGATGAGCTCCCAAAATTATATATTTTAAACATGAAATCTTAATATACTTTTCTAGTAAAGTGTGTGCCATTGTTCATGGGCAAAGAGTTCTGAGCTAATTTTTAAACCTGGGGAATATCGACAGCCAGACAGCTGCTAAGGCTTTTTGCTTGATCCCTTTGCAAATTCTCCTCAGCTATTCATGGCCAAAACATGTCATGTGCCAATCTAAAATCATGTTGGAGGAACTGGTGGAAAGGGTCTCCTTTTTCATACTCCCAGCAGGCTTATGTCAGAAGGCTGTGAGGGATAACCATTGCTATTTATAGATAATCCCCCCTTGAAAGGTCACCCTTCATTGTGTGCTCATTTCACCCCATAGCTGTCCAAAAGTCATTCTCCTGCAGCTCATCCCTAATGAGTATTTTTTTAAGCAGATAAAAATGAAATAAATCATGCAATAAAGCAGAAGATAGTGTTTGTTTTACAGCTGATAGCCTAAGCAATGCATGCCACTCACATTATCTCCTATACTTTTAATTACAACATAGGCAGGATTATTTTGATTGAGTTTTTTTCAAAAATTCACTACCTTCATCCAGTAGCAGGCATTTAACAGGTTGTATATTCTTGATAATAGGACTTTTGGGCACTGAATCACTTCCTTTATCTTGAACTACTCATGTGGAATCACAGAGTCGCTTAAAAGCCCAACAAACTGCATCTTGCAGCAAGTCAGGGAGAAGAATGGCACCTGCTCTGCAATTCTCAGCACTTCTGATTCTGAGAAAAATAACAAAATAGTTCCCATATTATGAAACTAAGCTTTCATTCTTTCTATGCATTTGAATGGTCATCCTGAGCTAAAAGGATGACTGCCTTTCCTGCTTTCTGCTGAGATGCATGTTGGAGGAAGCAAGTGGAGAGATGACAGCACTAAGCACTAAAATAAAAAAAGCATTGAATAGCAGAAAGAAAAAAGTGTATTTTTATCCAAAGCAGTGCACAGCAGTACACCAACACAGTGATATTTTCTTTATTTAAACACCATTAAAGTTAAATTAACAGAAATGAGAAGACTGTCACTGTGGCAAGAGATCGATGCAGAGAAGAAGAAATATGGGTAGGGAAGGGAGATAAAACAGGGTGAGGTTTTGTGGAAGAAGAGGCCAATGTCACCTGAAAAGAAATGGGCAGGGCACTTAAGTAATGACTTAAAAGCACAGAGATAACGCATAAGGTTTAATTTCAAGAAACTCTCTTGTGCTGCTATCCTTCTTAAAAGAGAGGTAAAGGCAATGAGTGAAACCTTCTTATCACACTTCTAAGAGTGGGCAGACAGGGATGTGGGTTGGCTTTCCTTGGGATCGACAGCGCTGCCTTTTGCAAAGCTTTATCATCATGTCAAGCAAAATGGAGCATGATACTGCCAGGAAAGCAAAACAGCTTCAGGTTATGAAGGGCTCTGCCAGAAGACTCTTAGTGCTGTTATTGTGTCTTTTCTCCTGATTAAATTTTGAGTATAGATGGCAGGATTTGTTTCACAGAAAAAAATGGCTAGACCGCTGAGGTGGACAGGGGAATTTGTGATCTCACCCCAATGAAGCTTATTCTCTAATATATATTGCAGCAGCTTTGTTCTTGCTGTTAAATAAGGCCTAGCTTAGAGGCAGTCTTTACATTCTTGAACTGTTTAAACAATTAAATCATTCGTCAAAGCAGCAGTTGCATTAAAAATCAGAAAGCACTAATGTTCCTCCTAAAAAGAAATCTAAAGGATTAAAGAGATCATGTTTGAAGGGGACAAACAGGATTATAGGTTTTGGGCTATTCATGTAAATTATTCATCTGCAGAGAAAAGAAAATAAAGAAAACAAACCAGACAGTAAATATCTGATCACTGGATGATGATTTTTGTCAGCTTCCACAGGGTAATTGCAAAATTTCTTTATGGACTTCTTCCAGTGTATTTCAATAGGCATACAGGTTTAACTCAGCCATATTTACCACTTAAAGTGCTACTCTGGATACTGTGTGGTTGGAATTTTAAGTTTAGATAGGGTTCACCTCACCTAACTGCAGGCTTGCAAAATTGAAGCCTCTAGTCTGAAACTGTCATCATCTATGTTATTTGAACAGACAGAGCAGAGAACATTGTTCCTCTAGAGGGTTTATCCCATCTCTATTCTACACACTTTATTTTTGATTATGGATTGAGAACAACCCTGAAGAAAATAGCTTGGGGGTGTTGTTTGACGAAAAGCATGACACAAGCTAGTAATGTGCACTGGCAACCCAGAAAACCAGCCATGTGTTGGGCTGCGTCCAAAGCAGCATGGCCAGAAGGTCAAAGGAGATTATCATGCCCCTCTGCTCTGGTGAGACCCTGCCTGGAGTGCTGCATCCAGCTCTGGGTCCTCCACACAGGAAGGACATGGACTAAGTTGGACCAAGTCTAAAGGAGGACAGCAAAGATAAGCAAAGGGCTGGAGCACCTCTCTTAGGCTGAGAGAGTTGGACTTGGTCAGCATGGAGAGACCAAGACTCCAGGGGTCAGGGCTTATAGTTCCTTCCATTAGGAAGCCTACAAGAGGTCTGGAGAAGGACTTTGTACAGTGCCATGTGGTGATGGGACAAGGTAAAATGGCTTTAAACTGAAAAAGTGCATTACATTAGCTATAAGGAAGAAATTCATTACTGTGAGGGTGGTGCTAACCTGAGAAAGAGTTGCTCAGAGAAATTATGGATTTCCTGTCCCTAGGAATATTCAAAGTCAGGTTGGATGGGGCTTTGAGAAATCTGGTCTAGCGAAATGTGTCCCTGTTCATGGTGGAGGGTAGGAACTAAATGGCCTTTAAAGGTCCCTTCAACCAGAAACCATTCTAGGATTCAATGAATCATCCTTTTGAAACACTTTTAAATCTTAGTTAGCTACAGAGGGGAGCATAGAGGGCCCTTTGAGAAAGCATTTGTCTCTTAGAGGGCTGAAGTGCCTTCGTCTGTAATCACTATTGAACTAATATATCAACACATCAAGGTTGCTAGCATTTTGTATCTAAGATGAGTGGGGAAAAGGCTTCTGTTATGCTCAGTGTCCCTTTGCTGAGCTGAAAAGTTGAGATGAGAAGAGAGGTGAATTCTCTCACCTGCATATTGCCTGTAGAAGTCAGAGTTCAGCAGGAAGGAAATGTGTCCTGCTGTACCTTGTCTTGCCTTCTTACAGATTGAAGGAAGGAGAGAACAGACTAGAAATCTCTGAATGAAGCATCAGACCAGTCTTAATTTTGTCTGAATTAGTCCTGATTCTAGATAACTTATTATTGAGAAAACTGTTCCTCATTGTTAAGTGAAGAGCATAGCTAGAGAGTTTGTCACAAAATGTGTCATGATCCAAGAGCCTGTGTGACTACCATGGAGGCCTTGTCTTTCCATTTGCCAGTATAAAGCTTGTGGAAGATTTTGAAAGACAATTTTAATAAGGAAAGGCATTAAGTGCCACCCAAACAAGTAAATGTAGTCACAGCAAGGTTTCTTCTTTCTCACTGTCTATCTCTCACCCTAGAAGGTTTTTATCCAAAGTGGGTGCTAGTCATGGCTTCAGGAATTATGTCTTCATCTTGCATTTCCCTATCAAGAGATCCTTACAGACAAAGGAATCCCAACTAGATCCCCAGGATAACTTTGTGAAGCTAGCTAGAAACCTACTCTACATGGTTTTGCCTATGTTTAATAGTAGATGTCTTCTTCCATTTGAGTAGTAGAATGATGGCATACCGGTGATGTCTCATACTCCAGGCAGTTCTTAGTATACATTCCACTGTTTCAGTATCATTTTCCACTCAATCTTTAATATCAGTAGGGTAGGAGACCATTTCTTTTAATATTTATTCCAAATTGTTAGCAGCCACATCACTTAAGATGAATGATTGTAAGACTTTTGTTTGTCTTCATCTGATGGAAGAAAACTACGTCAGAGACCTGTAAATGATGGTTGAATTTGAGCTGTTTAAGTGCCCAACAGAGAGTCCTTCTCATAAAGAATACAGATTTGGTTTCTTGGTGGGGTACAGAAAAGTTTGCTCTTTCTCCAAAGTGAAGTACATTTTGTCCCTTACCCTAAGAAATGGAGAGGAGTATTTAACTGAGAACAGCATAATTTCTGGGTAACACACCAATATTTCAAATGGTCCAGAGATTTCCATACAACTGTACTTCTCAGAAGGCAAGCAAAGTCAGTCTTCTATTACTGTCAGGTAGACTCTACTGTCAGCTGGAATCACCAGTGCACTGTAGATTTTGGCATAAGTAGCACCAAAATATGCTGATTGTCACCTAATTGAGAAGGTACATCTAAAAATTATTGGGTTTTTAGCATTTTGCAGAAGATTGCTTTGATTTTTTTTTTTATTATTATTCTACGAGTATTTTGGGCTCTTAGATTCACCTGTTTTGAGATTTTGCACATCACTCTGTCTGTCTCCATTTTTCCTTCGCCAGTGAATCAGTTAGAGTCTCAAATATGGAATTGTTTCTTAATTTATTCTTTGGAGTTAAGCTGTGATTTGATTTTTATCCTTGAGCATTACACCAAGTCTTTGGCCTTTTCAGTTGACACCCTGATGTGGGCACTTGACATGCTTTCTGTCATCACACAGGAGGATACACAAGACATGATTTTGCACCCACGAAATTCAACATACACACTACACTTATGCTATGATACAAGGTTGGCTTTGTCTGTCTATGTCACCAACAGGCTATTAGAAAACTACTCTTACAGTAATTGCAAATCATTTTCATTTTATCGCAAGATTTCTGTTTAAGGAAAGGATTACTTTATTTTAAGCCCTGGACCACTTTAATTTCATGCATCCAGCCTTAAGCATACGCTCTGCTGTCCAGTGCTGAAAACAAGCAAAGTAAAAAAACCTGTCTTGCTGTACTGTCATCCCAACTATTTTCTTTTGATCTTTCAGCTGGTGGGATATGGAGTGTGTGGGGCGGTTAATAGGTCCTTAACAAAAACAGACAAACAATTTTTTTTAAAAAAATCATGCTTTAACAATTTTCTAATGTCTATATGATCTGTAGGTCATACATGATATCTTATTTTACTATTTTATCTTTCATTACATTGCATCTTAATCATGGAGTGGAAGAGATGTCTGAAGTTCATCTAGTCTAATCTCCACACACATTGTGATAGGTTCACAGAATCTGTGCAGGTTGCACAGAATCATCTTCAGGCAGTTTTAAATATGTCCAGAAGAGATACCGCCTCTCTGGGCAAACTGTTCTTGTGTTTTTTTCACTTTCAAGGCAAAGAAGTTTTTCCTCATAGTCAGATGGAACTTCATGTGTTACAACTGAGGCCCATTGACCTTTGTCCTATTACACCATTGAAAAGAGTCTGGCCCCATCCTCTTAACTCCCTCTCTTTAAGATTTTCTTATGCATTGATACTATCCCTTCTCAGTCCTCTTTCTCCAGGTTAAACAGGCCCAGCTCCCTCTGCCTTTCCTCATAGGACAGATGCTCCTGTCCCCTAAACATCTTTGCAGACTTCTGTTGAATTCTGTCCAGGATTCCTAGTCTATCTTGCTCTGAGGAGCCCAGAACAGGACACAGCACTCCACATGTGCCTCACTAGGGTTAAATAGAGGAGCAGGATCACCCCTCTTGACCTGCTGGCAATGCTCTTCCTGATGCACCCCAGGATCTCACTGGCCTTCTTGACCACAAGGACACACTGCTGGCTGATAGACCACTTTTTGTCCACCAGGACCCCCAGGTCCCCTAGGTCCTTTTTCACAGAGCTGCTTTCCAGCAGGTCAGCCCCAGCCTGTGCTGGTACATGGGGTTATCTCTCTCCCAGTGCAGGACCCTGCATCTGCCTTTATTGAATTTCATGCGGTTCCTTTCTCCTTAACTCTCCAGCCTGTCAAATTCGCTTTGAATGGCAACAAAACTGTATGGTCTATCAGTAGCTTCTCACAGTATTGTATCATCAGAACACTTGATGAAGGGACACTGTCCCTTCATGCACATCCTCAATGAGTTGAATATCTGCATCAATTCTCCAAAGCAAGCCTGACAACAGAATTTACAGATTTCTACTATTTTTAATATGTAACCTCATGTATGTACAAGGCTGAACTATGGCCTTTATTGGTACAATTTCAACAATCGTAGGCAGCACAGAACAAATTGGTGATGTCCTGTATTTCTATAAAGAACACTCTCCACTTTCCTGTGGAGCACTATGAAATGGAGAAAGGGAGAGATAAAGTTCTTTACATTTTGTGCTGGCAAGAGGTACAAGATCACAGAAGCTGAGTTTTATACAGACTTTAAGATTATGTGCAAGAGATATAATTAGAGTTTCCCAGTTGACTTGATTTTACCACCCATTGTGATTTTTTTCCCCTCTGGCTTCTCTGCATAACATTAAGCAGCTCTGTAATAAAGTTACACGACTACAAAACAATAGCTGCAGTCTGCCTCTGTACACTGTGGTTGCCAGCCACCAGCTAAATGTGAATCCTTCATGTCATTCATAGCTCTGCATGCTTGGAAGAAGGACTGATTTCAAGACTGCCATTATTAAGAATAGCAGGTCCCATTTTTAACCGTCCATTCATTTGATGATGTTATTTTTTCCATTGCCCTATGGAACCAAGATTCTGCCCAGTGATAATGCGCAGTACTGCTAAAATTCAGTTTTCCCAATAGTATCATGGTCACAGCAAACCTAGAAGAACAGGGAGATCTTTGTGCAGATATGTGCAGGTCACACCCCTCTGCCACTCTGCTCTACTTCACCTCTGTGTGCAGGTGAGGCAAGGAAGTATGTGAGACTTGACAGCACAACTCTTACTATGACATTTGTGTCAGTGTCTCTACTAAGAAGAACTGAATGGACAGGCAGAACAGAGGGTGGTATGACAAGCTCATCATATACATTCACAAACAAAAATAGGGAACTGATAGATGTAATATTAGGTTTAACAGCAATCTCTCTTTATAATAAGAGGAACAAAGTAGATGTTCATCTCACTAGTAAAGGGAACTTCTACTGTACCAGTAAGATATCATTTTTAAGAGGCATATCTCT